CTGCCCTTCTCTGGACACGCTCCAGCCCCCCCAGGTCCTTCGGGGAGGGAGGGGCCCAACCCTGACCCCAGCATTAGAGGGGTGGCCCCCCCAGTGCCCAGCACAGGGGCACGGTCCCTGCCCTGCTCCTGCTGGCCACACCACTCCTGAGACAAGCCAGGATGGTGCTGGCCCTTTTGGCCACCTGGGCACCCTGCTGGCTTGAAGGTGACATTGCTGTCTCCCATGGGACACAGTTCATTGAAATGAATGGTAGCTGTGATTCCTACAGCAGTTATCAATCTGTGTCATAGTTTTCCTAACTAAACAGTCCCGCTGTAATGTAGTTTTACTTGTGGCTCAATATGGGTTTAAGGGAAGGGTACAGAGAAGAGAGAGCCAGATTCCTCCTCTGGGCTGCTCAGTGGAAGGATGAGAGGTAACAGACATGAGTTGGAACGTGGAAAATTGTGCCTTAATGTAAGAAAAGAATGTTTTAACGTGACAGTTGTCAGGCACTTGAGTAGGAGTCTAGAGAGGTTTGGGGAACTCTGTTCTTAAAGATAGTCAAACACTGACTGGGCACAGCCCTGAGCATCCTGCCCTAGCTGGACCTGCTTCCAGTCCTGTCCAACCTAGAGGACCCTGTGGATTAACAAAGGTCAAGCTCTGGAAAAAAGCCCGTTATTTAGCTGTTAGTGCCTCTGAAATTACACCTCTGCCCTTATACAACTGTCTCTGCAGGGGTATCTCGCTAAATACATATAAGCAAAATAGCGCTCTTCTGTTGTATGCCAAAAGTCTGATAGCAAAAGATCTTGTTGTGACTAAATTATTGTGACTGGTTTTCACAAAACAACTCGTAGCTATTGTACAGATATAAAGCAGTAAAATGAGGAAAAATACAAACTGGATTAATTTGGTAAACAGCGATGCAGCATCCTTTTGGCATGGATTTTGTCTGTTACCCATTTTTCAGTGGCTTGAAACTTGTCCCGTTAGTGCAAAGTAGGAAAACCCTGGATATATTTGTGTTACTTTATAATTCATGTTGTTTTGGATATGTTGTGTTCATTTGTTTAATACTAACAGCATGTGGGAGTTATGCATGATTGAAAGAGTCCTCATCCTTTAGAGAGTCCTCATCCTTTAGAGCTTTTAATACAACAGATATGAAATACCAAACAAATCCAGGATATACAAGATACTTGAAAACCTTATCTTAGAGTATCATTAATAGGCTTACATCAGCTAGTAATATAAGAAGTAAGTTATTAGGGATTTCAGTTGAAAGAGTATGTTTAGATGAAAGAATATTTGAAGTTTAGACTGAGTTCTAGAGGACGCTTCTTGGGTAACTGTTGTGCAAATGAAGAAAAACAGCAATAAGGACAGAAAAACTTGTATTTTGAAAAACACTTTGTGATAATTTTGCAGTATTTTTTGAGACTCACTATAGAGAATCTTTAATCCATCCTGCTGTAATGCACTAAAAATTGAAAAATTCTGTCATTCTGTCTGTCATATTACCATCTAAGGATAAAAATATGTGTTAAGGAGCGAAATTCAAACTTAGAATTGGATGGGTTCTCTGGTTGTGAGTTTGAAGACTATAGGGTCCATTAGGATTTGAAGACTTCAGCATTTCAGTGCTAAAACTTATCTTTTCGTTCTTTTTCACTGGTTTTTTTTCTTTTAAAAAAAAAGTTTACAAAATGGATCTCCTTGTGTTTTTTAGCCAACATCCATGAGAGCCATTCGGGCCAGATATGACCCCTATCTCCAGACAAGACACAGAGTGGAACAGGTACATTTTTACAGGTGGAAGGGAAATGCATTGTGATTGTGCTTTTAATTGCCTGAACCCTTAATGTAAGAAAAGAATGTTTTAACGTGACAGTTGTCAGGCACTTGAGTAGGAGTCTAGAGAGGTTTGGGGAACTCTGTTCTTAAAGATAGTCAAACACTGACTGGGCACAGCCCTGAGCATCCTGCCCTAGCTGGACCTGCTTCCAGTCCTGTCCAACCTAGAGGACCCTGTGGATTAACAAAGGTCAAGCTCTGGAAAAAAGCCCGTTATTTAGCTGTTAGTGCCTCTGAAATTACACCTCTGCCCTTATACAACTGTCTCTGCAGTGGTATCTCGCTAAATACATATAAGCAAAATAGCGCTCTTCTGTTGTATGCCAAAAGTCTGATAGCAAAAGATCTTGTTGTGACTAAATTATTGTGACTGGTTTTCACAAAACAACTCGTAGCTATTGTACAGATATAAAGCAGTAAAATGAGGAAAAATACAAACTGGATTAATTTGGTAAACAGCGATGCAGCATCCTTTTGGCATGGATTTTGTCTGTTACCCATTTTTCAGTGGCTTGAAACTTGTCCCGTTAATGCAAAGTAGGAAAATCCTGGATATATTTGTGTTACTTTATAATTCATGTTGTTTTGGATATGTTGTGTTCATTTGTTTAATACTAACAGCATGTGGGAGTTATGCATGATTGAAAGAGTCCTCATCCTTTAGAGAGTCCTCATCCTTTAGAGCTTTTAATACAACAGATATGAAATACCAAACAAATCCAGGATATACAAGATACTTGAAAACCTTATCTTAGAGTATCATTAATAGGCTTACATCAGCTAGTAATATAAGAAGTAAGTTATTAGGGATTTCAGTTGAAAGAGTATGTTTAGATGAAAGAATATTTGAAGTTTAGACTGAGTTCTAGAGGACGCTTCTTGGGTAACTGTTGTGCAAATGAAGAAAAACAGCAATAAGGACAGAAAAACTTGTATTTTGAAAAACACTTTGTGATAATTTTGCAGTATTTTTTGAGACTCACTATAGAGAATCTTTAATCCATCCTGCTGTAATGCACTAAAAATTGAAAAATTCTGTCATTCTGTCTGTCATATTACCATCTAAGGATAAAAATATGTGTTAAGGAGCGAAATTCAAACTTAGAATTGGATGGGTTCTCTGGTTGTGAGTTTGAAGACTATAGGGTCCATTAGGATTTGAAGACTTCAGCATTTCAGTGCTAAAACTTATCTTTTCGTTCTTTTTCACTGGTTTTTTTTCTTTTAAAAAAAAAGTTTACAAAATGGATCTCCTTGTGTTTTTTAGCCAACATCCATGAGAGCCATTCGGGCCAGATATGACCCCTATCTCCAGACAAGACACAGAGTGGAACAGGTACATTTTTACAGGTGGAAGGGAAATGCATTGTGATTGTGCTTTTAATTGCCTGAACTGGTGGGCTGAAAGGGTTGTGATCAGCAGCACGAAGTCCAGCTGGAGGCCAGTCTCTAGTGATAGAACCCAGCTGTCAATATTGGGGGCCAGTAATGTTTCACCTCTCTGTTAAGGGCCCATATTTTGGGACAGAACACGCTGTCCGCAAGTTCATACGTGATACCAAGTTGGGAGGAGTGGATGATAGACCAGAGGATTATGCTGCCATTCAGAGAGACCTGGTCAAGGCTGGAGAAATGGGCTGGCAGGAACCTCTTGAAGTTCAACAAAAGGAAATGCCAAGTCCTGCCTCTGGGGAGGTACAACCTGAGGCACCAGTACGTGCTGGAGGTCGACCAGCTGGAAAGCAGGTTGACAGAAAAAGACCTGAGGGTCCTGGTGGACACCAAGTTGACTATGAGCAGCATTCTGTCCTTGAGGCAAAGAAGGCCAGCAGCCTCATGGGCTGCATTAGGATGAGTGTTGCCAGCAGGTCAAGGGAGAGGATCCTTCTTCTGGCCTCATCAGTGGTGAGGCCCCATCTGGAGAGCTGTGTCCAGTTCTGTGCTCCCCAGAAAAAGAGAGACATGAACATACTGGAGGAAGTCTAGCAAAGGGCCGCTAAGATGATGAAGGGTCTGGAGCATCTGAGGAGTTGCTGAGAGCCAAGGCTGGGGAAAAGAAGGCTTCCAGGAATCTTACCAATGTGTATGAATAACTGGTGGGAGACACTAAGAAGATGGAGCCAGGCTCTTCTCAGTGGTTCCCAGTGACAGAACAGGACAGGATGCAACAGGCACAAACTGAAACCTGGGAAATTCCATTTGAATATCAAGAAACAGTTCTGAATAGTGAGAGTGACTGAGCACTGGACCAGGTTGCCCAGAGAGGTTGTGTAGTCTCCATCCTGCAAGATGCTCAAAGCTGAACAAACTGCTGTAGCTGATGCTGCTTTGAGAAGAGAGATTAATTGCCTAACAGTCATTTCCATTAGATAAATAACACGTGCTGATAGGAGACCCTATTACAACAAAATTGTAATCAACTTTTGTGGCAGTTGCTAGTTCTTGATAATTACTTACACGGAGAATTTGGTACCGAAAACAGTGGCTTTCCTACCAAAATTATTTTTCGGGGGTCTCTGCTGGAGAATTAGAAGATCTGAAGAGTTTCTCGGTCCTGTTCTGCTTTGACTGGTTTCCTGACAGGTTCCCCTGGATTCCGTGTAGTCCTTTTCTCCCACAAGTATTTAAGGAAAGTTGGTTCTACACGGATTGAAGCAGATGTGAGGAAACGTTTCCTATTGGCCATACCATATCTAAGCTAGCTTCAAACTGGAACCAGTGTAACTCCCATCAGCAAGACGCTAAACTCAAATAATTCTGCTTTATCAAAAAAACCTGTTATGCTAGGCTCAGTATCTGTACTGTGTTCTTGCAGTAGAAAAATAACTTTTTGAGGTTTTTGGGGGTGGGGATTATAAGAAATCTGTGCAAAAGTATTAACGGTTTGTCAGTCATAAAGGATGTGACAACTGAAGAAGGAATTGCAGTGTAGGAATGTCAGGGTTTTCAGAGAATTCCTTTAGATAAGTCCCTGATCGGTAATCTTTTCCTGGTGCTTTTAATTTTGCAGCTGAAGCAGTTGGGCCACAGTGTGGATAAAGTAGAGTTTATTGTGATGGGTGGAACATTCATGGCCCTGCCTGAAGAGTACAGAGATTACTTCATCAGGAACCTTCACGATGCCTTATCAGGTCACACTTCCAATAATGTAGCAGAGGCCGTCAGGTAAGCATTTTGGTTTTCTTTAATGTAATTGTTTAAAAGTGTTCTTTAACTGATGTAAGAACAAAAAATACAGAAGACAAAAATTGAGGCCTCTTTTTTTTTTTTTTTTTTTTTTTTTTGAAAGGCAACATTTATCCAAATACCTGTTTAGGCACAGAATATTTATAGCTTAACTTCCAGCATTGCTCTGGATGCTGCATAGCGCCAGCAGAAGATGGGGCCGTGGTTTATCTAGTTTCTCGTGAAGGAAATGCTAAGCTGCTTCTGATTTCTTGACATTCCACCTGGACTTCTACCTTTTATGCTTCATCACCTTGATTGGGAGTTGTGACGAGTCACATCGCCATGGGATTTATTTCCTTTAGCTGGGAAGGGGAACTGATCCTGGCTTGGAGGGAGGCCAGACGTCAGCTCCCGTAAGGGATGACTCACCCCCGAGAGCGTCAGCGCTCAGGAGCTCCGAGCCCTTTGTGCAGTCTCAAATGCAGTTGCCCTTGCAGTATTTCGGTGTGACAGGGAGATGCTCCTCTTCTCATTTTACGGTCGATGAACTGAAAATCGGAGGCCCATTTATTTGCGTGTGCTTTGGGTCATTAAATCCATAACTTCCCGGTTTGGTTTGCGGTATAAAACTGAGAAGAAAAACGAGAAAGATTTGATGTTTTGGAACTGTTAAAACTAGGTGAGCATCCCCTACTGACAGTTTTAGTTTGCTACCTTGTCATTGTCCAGTGCAGTGGATTTTCCTTGATACTGTTCTCATCTACTAAAGAAAGCGGTTTTAAAACTGAATAGGACTAGCCCTTGTCTAGCTTCATGTCTACCTTCATATTTTAAAGCTGTAATTTCATTTGGTTTTCCTCTGGAGGGCAGCAGACACTTCTGCAGGTTTTCTTTGGGTTTTTTCTTGTCATTCAAAGACCAGACAAAAAGTGCTATACTGCTCTTTCCAAGTGGATTTTGAGATAAAATCACAAACGAGTTGGGAAAAGGATTGCTTTTCTTTTGCTCTAGCGCCCTAGTTGTGAGCACAGAAGGACACAGCTCATTAGGGAAGAAGGGTGGAGTTTGCAGGTTGTCTATTGACATTATTGCTGTGCTTATACGTACGTCAGATGGTTCAGGATGTGGTTATCCCATATTTTTTCTGCTGCAGGTGTCCAGCTATTTTTACTGGACCCAAAATTGCTTTTGGAGTAGCCTGTCCTTTGCTTTGCAGATTACTGAGGAAACTATTTACGACACAGACCGTGTGACCAAGTAATTTTAAGTGCATGCAAAAATGAAGTGACTCTGAAGTCAGTGTACTGCCTTCTGAGCATGCAGATCGAGCAATGTGAGAAAACCTGCACTAACAATTTGTGGGTTTTTTCCAGCAGGTAAAGAAAGGTTTGTATTTTTGACATAAAATTCACATTAAATGCTTAGTAAATGGATGTATGTGGGAGTTATTTAAGTTGCACTTCCTAAATATTCCAGAGGAGAGAAGACTGGGTTCAAGATGAATCAGACCTTTTCATTTTGTGCTTCTTGCCTGTAGTTGTTATATGATGTCACTGCAGAGCTGTTTGGAGGTGGTCAGTGACACTTGGAATAAAGAGTCAAGGTTGAATTTATTTCTCTTTGTACATGAGGATTCAGCCCTTCTCTCTCACTGCTTCCATCAGCAGAGGATGCCACATGGGGAATACTGACAATATTTTACTTGGTTTATAGCAAGGGCACTGTGTTAGGCAATAACCCGAGATCTGGTCTCTCTCACCCCTTACTTTGAAAGTGATCATGGTAGCCTTGGATTTTTTCCTCCTTGGGCAAATCATTAGTTACTTTTAGCTTTTGTATAGTGATTCCCTAATGGGGAAAAAGACCTTCAGCCAGGATACTTAAAAAGTCTTTCTGAGCATGACCTTTGATTAAGCCAGTGTAGTATCTGTCTATATAGGCTTCCATCCACCTAACTCTGAACACATTTTTTTTTTCCCCTTTTATCCAGTCATTTCTTTACTTTGTCCTATACTTGAGCTCTGCTTCTATGTCCAACGCTGTCTTTCCAGTGATACACTGACCTGTATGGTCTGAATTGTGCAGCACTGAAAGGCTCATCAATCTGGCGTCCTCCTCTTGACGTAATTTTGAATTTGCTTCGTATAATGCTTTGTCTTGATCAGCCTGCTGCAGCTTCTGGTCCCGGTTAATCTGATAAAAAGGATGTGACTCTGTGCAATTTCAGCCGGGACAGTACGACCGTAGCCTGCCACAGAGGTATAGACTGTTCCTCACCAGGAACCGGCACTGCAAGTCAGACTAAACAAATAAGTCTTCAAGCTGCGTTGGCCCTTGGACTCCAGCTGATGTTCTGAGTTGGCTTCTGGCTTTTTTGCAGATTCAGAGTCTTAGGGTGAATCTGGCCCTGTGGTAAATCACAAAGCTGCAAACCCAGCGGTGCCTGTGTGAGAGAAATGATGTGGGACTGGGAGTGATCTGTCTTGGGGAAGAGGGGCACTGCTCTAGCCAGCTGCTGCCGGATAAATAACTCTGAAACTGTGGCTTTGTAGTCAGTGGAGAGACCAGGATCTTCATGGGATGGCTCGGAGCACCTAAGCAAGGTTGATGCTTTAAACTGTTCCCAGGTAAACTGGGCAGCTGAGTTGGGGGCTGTAAAGAACTCCCTTTATACCTCTATTTACAAAGCAGGAAGAGATCCTTTTTGCATGAGTGGACCTGACGTGAGTTAAGATTTTGGTTTTTATGGATGCATGAACAGAAGATGAGTGTAGAAGTGACCATATTTCCATACATGAAGGTTGCCAACCAAGAGTGTGATTTTTAAAAAGGTAAACTGCTAGGCTTTCATAGCGACTGCTGCGAGTGGAGGTGGGAAATGACTTCCCTGAGAAAGTGTTGCTGGTGTTTAGTATTTCCGTAGCACCTCCCTATTGAGGTAATATACACTTTTTAGAGTATTCAGAAGTCTTTGCTTGTGGTGTTTTGGTACACTTGAGAAAGAAGTTGGCCAAGGAGTGAGGAAAGAATTGCAAAGCCAGAGGGGATCTCTGTTTTGTAGAGGGTGCACAGGGAGACTGAGAAGTTTAAATTTTTATCCGCTGAGAACATCACTTAGGAGACTTCAGTGCGCTTCTGGATGGCTATCAAGCAACGTTGTAGACTTGGTGATAAGCTTCCCTTCTTTAGGAGGAGATTTTTGATGACTGCTGAAGAATCACTGTAAGACAGATTTTTCTTTTTGTACACTAGAGAAATACATCTTCCTCTGGGAGTTGCGCCCATCAAGCCAAAGTGTTGACTTGATCGCTGATTGCGGCTGCCTTTGCTCTTTCGTGAGGACAGTGAACCAAGAAGGTGTAAAACGCACATGCAAATGAGAATTGCTGCTCCCCATCATTTTGCTCCTCTCACCTGACCCATGAGTCATGAGAGGTGCTGGGCATATTTAACTGCCACCGTGACTCACCACTTAACTCCAAGGGCTGAGCACCTCTTCTCTGAGCCAGGATTTGACTTTTAATTAGCGAACAAGGCCAAAGGAGAACTGGCCCATGTTGAGAAAGGGAGGTGCCAGGAAGGTCCCCTTAGGCTACGGGCCTGCGCAGCTCCCTGGACTGCAACATCAAGCCTGGCTTCTCTCAGTGTATTGAAAAACACACAGAAATTATTTTTTTTAATTCTATTTGAGCAGTATCACGCGTTGTCTGATGTTCGATCTGGTCGTAAATCACATTGTTAATGGTGGAGTAAGAAGGGGATAAAATTGCTGGAACCTCATGTTCTGCAATTCAAGTATCTTGTGTACCTGGTATTTATGTGACAGTGCTCAGGTGCACAGCAGACATAACTATTTCCGTAATAGGTCTGTAATCCAAGACTGGTTCGGCTTTACATCCACTCATCAGTCAGTACTCTCTTAAAAGGCTCATTTTCCACTTGCATCATGCGTTGAAGCCCAGAACTTGCAGAAGTGAGTACTGTCAGCTGCGTTTGATTCCTCCTGGAGAAATTGCAGCTCCTAATACCGGACGACACCGTGAGACTGCCTTTTTCTTAGGCTTGTCATCGATTGCTTTTGCCAAGTGTCCTTTTATGTTTCCACCATTAGCTGTGTCTTCCGCTGGGCTGGTGAGCAGGCAGCAATGCTTCCTGCTGCCACAAATGTTTTCATTATCCACGAGAAAATTTCCTTTAGGTATCCCAAAAGCCGTATTGATCTTTTGGCAAGCAGTAAGCAGATAGATTCAGCTACTTTGGAGCCTTCACTGAAAGAGAAGACATGGGTTTTAAATCACCGCTGCTTAGAGGTGGATTATTGTGTGTCCAGTTTAAGACCTCTTAGCCCTTCTGAGGAAGAAAAGAAACCCCAAGCTCGGGCAGTTTCAGCAGCAGTTGGTTTGATATGTGCAGCTCCTGATGCATTTTAAAGCCCAGCTGGAAATCGCTCTTCTTGAACACGCCAGATCAGAGCAATCTTATGAAAAATGTGATTTGTGTGGTTATAAGATGTGGTTTCTGGAAGGATGGTTACATTCTTTTCTCAAATACCCAGATTAGGTCTCATGTATCAGTATTTCTTCTAACAGAAGCTGCAGTTTCTCCACATGACATACAGTGATCGTGAGGGTCGACAGCTAAGCAACTCCTAATTTTGCTTTTCAATACTGAGGAATAAACCTCCTTTCAAAAGTTTGCTCTCTGTTTTTACAGTAAGTCTGTTTTAAATTTCCCAAATGAGACTTTAGGAGTGCTGTTAGAAGATGAAGGTTCATGCCAGTAAGTCTAGTCTTGCTGCTGCCGCTGCTGTAATTTTACCAAGATTTAGCCTGGCTGCTTGACTTCTAGGGCGCAGACAGGCAATGATGTTACGTGGGGTAACAAGCAGGCATATTATGCCTTTGCTGTTGCAGCTGGCTTTGTGTATGTATTTCGCTGGCCCCACTTGTGAGAAGTTCTAGTGTGCCGTGAATCTCGAGGAAAGAGATTTAAGCAAA